CTTACCGTATTGGAGTGAAGCGAAAAAAAAAACTGCTCGTTTCACTGCAAAACTTCAATGTTCGATTGTCCTTAACGTTCAATTACGTTCAGTTTCCTTGAAGACACAAAGGAGTAATTGAAAATCATGTCGAGAATTGTAACTACGGTGAAAGCAGCTAAATGATGCCGCTGACAAAGGCGAGATAAAATGATGACCAATTTTGGGTTTGAAATATATTGCCGTACAAACTCCATGCCATAAGGCAAGGATTCCAGAAAATCTTGAAGCGTTAGGTATACTTCTCAAATCTGATCAGTTCATCATTTGAGCACATGTTTAAGTTTTGAAAAACGAATATCAGCTCTCCGTTAGCTACAGTCGAAAAGTTCTGAATTTAATTTTAGTTGTAAAAGAAGCTAGCAAAATCGGTGAAAGTCACGGAGACGGGAGTTAGTGTGGGTTGTTGGGATAGGCGTGGGTCTCTACCCATCAGTCGAAAGATCAACGGTGCATAGCTAGAACCTCTATTTGACATGTATTTTCTATTGTTGTTTCCAATTTTTTGTTTTTGCTCTGGGAAAACAAGTTTTGTGTTAGTATTTAATTCCGCAATTGATAATGTTTAGGTAAATTGGTGGGGGTTGAGAAATCAGACGATAAGCAAATTAGATGGAGGTACTTAAAGGAGTATAGATGATCTTGCAAAACTGCAATTGTGAGAAAATAGACGAAAGTGAGAGAGATTAAAATTGTTTGCAGACAAATTCCGCGAGAAAAATATAATTGTTTGTAGAAAACAGTTAAATTTTGGTAGCCAACAATCATGCATAATTTATTCAATTCAAAACTGCCTTTTAGTATTCAGATTTGACTCCTTTTGATCGTTTTGATAGGTATTGACATTTTATGTTCAAAATTTTGTTGGCCCTTTCCTTTTCATAGGTTTTTCGACTAAAATGCCAGATCTGTAAAAAATAAATTCTGTCTAACTTCGTTTTTGTAGCATCCGTCTAATTTTCTTATCGTCTAATTTCCTAGGCCCCAAATTGGGTTATTGAACTAATTAATTACTGACACATCGTTTTTTGAACGCACTCAAAGAAAGACAGTAAAGTAAACGAAGCAGAAGCAAGGCACCCAACCCAATTCGAAGAAAATTGTTAGCTAGTTATCTGATTACTATTCATTTCAGCAATTACTATTTTTGCATGCAACCTCAACTAGACTGCTCGTATCAGGGCGAAGCCCTGAATGTTCCGACTGCCTTTTAAGGTTTATGGAGCAGTTATAACATAAGGGTCATTAACAAAGTAAATGTAATGAAAAATGAAAAAAAAAACTTTTTCTAAATTTTGAAAATTTTTCGATGAAAATCATCCCCCCACACGCCATATAAACTACAGAAGAATAAATTTTGCTCCTTGTTACAAATCAATTATGGCAAATAAGCTTCTTTCAACCAATTTGGAGCGATTTCTAATAGGGATTAAATCTGCGCTTACGCGTTAAAAGCGCAAAATATATCGCGCGTTAAATGTCCCAAATTGGCCAAAATGGCAATTTTTAAACCCCGTAACTTTACAAAAAATGATCACTGGTGAAATATTTTTTCAAATTTAAGCTCAGGACAACAATATCTTTTGAATGATATAAACAAATTTTGTCAAAAATGGCTAGTTAAAAAGTCAAAATTTGTCTGACGAAAAAAACCCAACCCGAGCACAAATATTTCGTTTTTTTTTCGTATCAAAAGTCGGAACAATAAAACGACAAGACTTAAAATACATATGGCATCAAGAAGACAAATGGGAGTCAGAAAACGTAAAATTAATGGTTCGAATTTAGGCAAATCATAGACCCACGTGAACAATAATCCCCCCTAAAAGAATTGAATGGCGAATTCAAGTCGGTTAACTTGCCTCACTTCAAATTGGAATGATTTTCCTGACCAGATTTTGCCATGCGTAAACTTTCGCATTAAATTTTCAACATAAAGTATAAAACGAGGAGTTGAGTTGGTTTTGTGTCAGCGCACGAAGTTCTACGGAGCACTTTTTGAGAAAATGTCTGAAAAAAAAACTCGAGCATAATTGTCCCTCGCTCTCTTCGAAAGTCGGAACAACAAAACTGCTCGTATCAGGTCAACGCCCCAAATCTCCAAATCTTACCAAAGCTTTTAAATTATATATAGAGTATTGTTCGCTTCAAAAAAGTGATGAACTTTTCAAGAGGTAAAAAAAGGAACAAATTCGAAAGCGGATTAAGTCTGAAATTACGCTATAGTAGCACAAAAATGAATCAGGCGTAAATTCTGTCAATTGGCCGATATGCCAATCTATGTTCTCCCATAGTTTTCCAAAAATGTATCATAGCTGAAGTATCTATTTTCAGCTCATCCCAACAGCACCTTTCGAATGATATAAAAAAGTTAATTCAAAATTTTTTCTTAAGAGTTTGAAAAAAAACCACCCGATCATAAATTTTCTGTCATATTTTCAAAAGTCGGCAATCTAATAACTCTCAACTGATAATAGGTAGGTTTAAGCGAGCATTAATGCTCTAATTGGTTGATTTGATTTGATTCACGCCGCATCAATGCAGCATACCTTAATGCTCAAATCAGTGCAAAACTTGAAGAAACGATACCGACTGGGCTTAACGTAGATGCAAAAGTTTCCGTATATGACAGTATTCAAAGTAAGTGCGAAAAAAGTCGAACTGTAAAATAATTTTCTGTTTCTCGATTTTTCCTTCACAGGATTCTTGTTAAGCTCAAAGTAATATATATTGTCTGGTCACGCATAAACAAGAGCAAATTGCTTGCCTTAATTTGATTTCGAATTATCTCATTACGCTTTAATAGCACCAAAATCTGGTGCGTTATTCGGCCCAATATACATTTTAGAGTGAAAATGATACCAAAATTTTATCCTCAATGACTTTGCAACCAATTATCACAGGCAAAACAAAGTTTGAGCACTGCAAAATAATATCTTCCTTTATTGATCCCACTTGCGATACGAAAAAAACGGAATTTTGTGCTCGCGTTGGGTTTTTTTTCTTCAGACAAATGTCGACTTTTTAACTAGCCATTATTGACAAAAAAATTTTTATCATTCAAAAGCTATTGTTGTCCTGGGCTTAAATTTGGAAAGATATTTCACCTGTGATAAATTTTTGTAAAGTTATGGGGGTTTAAGGATTGCCATTTTGGCCGATTTGGGACATTTAACGCGCGATATATTTCGCGCTATTAACGCGTAAGCGGAGATTTAATCCCTCTTTGAAATCGCTCCAAATTGGTTGAAAGAAGCTTATTTGCCATAATTGATTTGTTACAAGGAGCAACATTTGTTTCTTCTGTAGTATATATGGCGTGTGAGGGAATGATTTTCATCGAAAAACTTTCAAGTTTTTGGGAAAAAAATTTTTCCATTTTTTATTACATTTACTTTGTTACCCGGGTTGACAAAAATAGCTTATCAAATAATTTTTTTATATATGAAAAAAATGCTTATCATACTCCATCATGCAATTTCATAGAGAAAAAGTAAGTGTATGAAAAGTGCAAAATAAGCATTTTTTCCATAATAAGAAATTGTATGACAAGCATTTTTCCATAAACAAAAAAAAAGTTTGTTTCGAAATTTTGTGTTTCCACCAAAACACTAGCCAAGGATTTTTTGTCATAAAAAACCCAGATTGTAACGGGCAGTCACCACGCAGATGAACTGCAGCCATGAAGATTAATTTTAAAACTTTCACATGGAATTATATACCAAAAAGTCATTTAAAATTTTTAAAATTTTGGTGGTTGAGAAAAAAAATTTGGTGGTTGAGAAAAAAATTTTGGTGGTTGAGAAAACTTTTAAAGTTTTGTGGTAAAGAAAATTTTTAAAATTTTGGTGGTTGAGAAAAAAAGGCCTGCTTTCCTACAAATTTATTTTTATTTTAGCAGATGAAACAAAAGATAATAATCGTGTTTACAAAAAAACCAACAAAGCAAGTTTGCAACCAAAACAGGGATTAGAATTTTTTTACCTCAAATTTTTGTTTTTGTTTATGAAAAAAATGCATATCATACAAGTTTCATATATGAAAACTTTATGATTAGCTTTTTTCTGCCCGAAATGAAATTAAGTTTTTGATTGTCAAAATTCCCTCTGTCATAGATATAATAATCTATTTAAAGTTATCCAGACACGTTTTTTGGTGATTTTTGAAAATTTTATTTTCTTTAATGACAAAAATGACTATCTTATAATTTTCATACATGAAAGTTGTATGATAAGCGTTTTTTATCAAAAATTTTAAATCATTTTTGAATGACCAGAAAGCTTCAAAAGAGGCAATTAGACCAAAAATGTTCATTAAAAATTTTTAAAACTCTTTTAAAATTTTGTATGAAATTTCTATGATAAGCAGTCTTTCCATAGACTTTATATATGAAACTGTATCTTAAGCATTTCTCTTGTATGGACGTCAACCCGGGTAATGACATTTATGTTATAACTGCTCCATAAACCACAAAAGGCAGTCGGAACATTCAGGGCTTCGCCCTGATACGAGCAGTCTTGTTGAGCTTTGGGAATCAATTATTAAGTGGACATTTGTGGGGAGAGAGAAACTACCTCCGAGCACATACATATATTGCGTCACTTTTATGTTATATTGCGTCACAGTTGGAGCAATTACCGTGATGATAGAGAATCCTGGTATAAGATAAGCTGTTACGCCTTAGCAGCTGTGATACTTTTACGCTTAGGTTAATTGCTAGGACTACGAGTGGCTATGAGGATAAGATTTTTGCAGTTTATGAGTGAGATAGATTCTGCAAAACTGTTTTTGCATAATAATACGTGGGATGATTTTCTGTGGCATGTTTTGACTGGACACTGTTAAGACTCAACCATTTGATCGAAGTGCAAAGCATAGCCTGGTTCTAACTTTGAATTGATCTGGATCTGGTGAAAGAAGCAGCGTGTAGCCTTAATCCAGAAATTGTTTGTTTGTTGCAGCCAAACTGCTTGTGGAAGAGTACGACGCCTCCGTCGACATAAGCACGGGGGGATCCAGTGCACCAACTGCTCTCTTCACGGCCATTCTGAGTGGAAACTTCCCCTTCACTCAGTACCTGTTGCAGGCGGGTGCGGACGTTAATTTATGCAACGCCAACAACGAGTCAGTTCTGTTCATAGCTGTTACGCAATCCAACAGCCAATTATGCAATCTGCTGCTTGAACACAACTCCCAACTCAGTTTGCAAGATTCTCTTTACGGCCAGTCAGTTTTTCACATCGCAGCTTCACTTTTTGCCACTAAGGAGCAGCTCAAAGTCTTGTCGAGAATGTTGGCTATGGTCAAATCAGCCAAACGTTGGGGTGCTGGCAGAGGCGAGAACCAACGAAGGTCTGTTTTGGACTTGCAGGATTCTGCCGGGCAAACTCCTCTCCATAAGGCGGTGATTGCAGGAAATCTTGAAACGCTCGGCTTACTTCTAAAATCTGGTTAGCTAATCAATTGAGCACACTTTTAAGTTTTCAAAAACGAACAGCAGCTTTTGTTTGTGATGTGATTTCACTTATGTTCTTAGCTTTCTTAGCTTTTAAATTTAACTTTTAGATTTAGTTTTCCTAGCTTTCTTTTAGATTTAGCTTTTTAGCTTTCTTAACTTAATTGATTTAACAGGTCATTTACGTTATGACCTTGATACTTTAATGCTCTGTCGCTTTTAATGTTTTAAATTTCCAATGAACTTGCTTTTTATCTTTTTATTCTTTCAATTGTATAACCGAGTCGAGATTTTTCACCTAATTTGAAGCAAAATTTGAGCGGTTTGAGCGGTTTTTTTAGACAATTACGCTCAAAATCTTGCTTCAAAATGAGCGGTTTTTGAACTGTTTTATCTAAAAAAACCGCTCAAACCGCTCATTTTGAAGCAAGATTTTGAGCGTAATTGTCTCAAAAAAAACCGCTCAAACCGCTCAAATCTTGCGCGGTTTTTGAGCGGTTTTTTTAGATAAACCGTTCAAAAACCGCTCAAACCGCTCATTTTGAAGCAAGATTTTGAGCGTAATTGTCTAAAAAACCGCTCAAACAGCTCAAATCTTACATGTTTTCCAGTGGTTATTTTGCTCGAGCATTTGAAAAAAGTCGCTCACCTTGACTTTGGTCAAGACATCGAAAAAAGTATTGCTTGATTTGAGAACGGTTAAGCACATTTTTTAAATTGTAGATAGTATTTCAACTGCATCTTAGCGTGTGTTGACCAAAAATGCCTATCCTTCAATTTCCATATATGAAAAAATGCTACAATTTTTTAGTTTCATAGACTCAGAAAATTGTAAAAAAAAAAACTCTAGGATAAGCGTTTTTCATATATAGAAATTGTAAAAAAAACTTTTTTTCATATATGGAAATTGTAGGATAAACATTTTTTCATATATGGAAATTGAAGGATAAACATTTTTTCATAAATGGAAATTGTAATATAAGCATTTTATCAAAAATGGAAATTTAAGACAAGCGTTTCTTCATATATGGAAATTGTACGATAAGCATTTTTTCATATATGGAAACTGTAGGATAAGCATTTTTTGGAAAATCAAATGAGGCTCAATTAGCGTTTAAACTTACCCATAAGACGTGCAATCTCTAAACAGAGAAGAGAACCAACAGAAAAATCAGAGGGTTTTAGAGGTTGGAACCTCAAATTCTTCATTATCTGTAGGCAAATCTCCTCAACTCTTGAGAGAGCAAAAATTTCCTAAGCCTATTCCTAGATGAACCAAAACCATAAGGGAGGAGTTGTCTCAAACATCAAAAAACCTGTTTTCCTGATGGAAACATTCTCCAAGCATACATACTCCAGTTGTGATCCGCAAGTTCTATCATTAGCATTAATTCATTTCCTCTAAAAAACAAAATTTTACACGTGCGAGAAAACAGGAAATATTCAACACACACGTAATTATTGTTCATTGATATGATTTCTGATCGAAATTCAAAACTACTCGAATGCAAAAATATCAACTTTTAAGGCCACCATTGGAATCATATATGAGATTACTGGGTCAGAAGTCAGCCAAGCGACGGCACTCAGAAGCAGAATACTGCACTGATTTACAATGTAAAAAAGGGCAGTAATGTGCTTCTCGGCGCCATCGATCGGCTGACTTCCGACCCAGTCATCTCATGTAAGATTCCGATGGTGGCTTTAAAAGTTGACATTTCTGCATAGGTCAGATTGTACAACTAAGCTGTTATTATTTGAAAACACTGAAATCAAAAACTAAGCACACCCAGGTATCAATAACAAGTCAAACAAGGCATTATCAACCCCAAAAAGGCAGCGCTGTCGTTCAAACGTATGAAAACTCAAGGAATGTCTGGTAGTCAAAACCAAAACGAAAGAAAAACTGCCAGTACTGTGACGACAACTTTTTCGGACAAAAAATCACCACAGCGCAAATTAGCTTCTGCAACGACAACTAACTCGGAAGAGCTGATGAATGGAACAACAATGAACATCAAGATGACCTAACTAGCCACACAATTTCCTGAAAAATGAAAAAAAAATTGTACCACAAAAAGATCGCATCAAGGATTAACACAAAGAATGACATTTTTCAGAAGACCAAAATCAAAAACAACTTAGTACTCCATTGATCCTTTAGCATACCCACAACGCATTAACAACCCAAAACAGCGTCGCTGTGTTTTTCAAAGATGTCAAAACTGAAGATAAATTCAGTAGCCAAGACCAGAAGCTCGTGGAAACTACCAAATTGTGACAACTTTATTGAGACAAAAACACTCCAGCGCAAATTCACATGTGCAACGACCACTACCCGAGTAGAACTGAACAAATGAATAAAAAGGAACACAGCAAAATGATAACATCAGCCAGACACTGATCAAAAATGGAAAACATGTAACGAGAAAAACCGGATTACTGATAGGCACATAAAAAGACACGATTCCACAGAAAAAACTGAAATCAAAAACTAAGCATTCCCCGGTACCATTAACAAAAGAACAATGCATTATCAAACCCAAGAAGGCAGCTCTGTCTTTCAAATTTGTGAAAACTGAAGGAATGTCTGGTAGTCAAGACAAAAATGAAAGAAAAACTGCCAGCACTGACGACAACTTTTTTCGGACAAAAAACCACCACAGCGCAAATTCGCTTCTGCAACGACAACTAACCCGGTAGAGCTGATGAATGGAGCAACAATGAACATCAAGATGGCCTAACTAGCCACACAATTACATGAAAAATGAAAAAAATTGTACAAAAAATCGCATCAAGGATGAACAAAAAAAGACATATTTCAGAAACAAAAATTCCAAAATCAAAAACTTAGTACACCCATGAACCTTCAGCAAAACCACAACGCATTAACAACCAAAAAAAAACGTCGCTTTGTATTTCAAACATGTCAAAACTGAAGAAACATTCAGTAGCCAAGACCAGAAGCTCGTGGAAACTACCAATTTGTGACAACTTTATTGAGACAAAAACACTCCAGCACAAATTCACTTGTGCAACGACCACTACCCCAGTAGAACTGAACAAATCATGATTCCACAGAAAAAAACTGAAATCAATTATTAAGCACTCCCAGCTAACATCAACAGGTAAAAAATGCATTATCAACCCAAAAAGGCAGCTCTATCTTTCAAACTTGTGAAAACTCAAGGAATGTCTGGTAGTCAAGACCAAAAAGAAAGAAAAAATGCCAGCACTGTGACGACAACATTTTCGGACAAAAAACACCACAGCGCAAATTCGCTTCTGCAACGATCGCTAACTCAGTAGACCTGATCAATGGAACAACAATGAACACATCAAGATGGCTTAATTAGCCAAACAATATGAAAAGCCTGAAATATGAAAAAAATATTGTACCACAAAAGATCGCATCAAGGATAAACACAAAATATGACATATTTCAGAAATATAAAGACCAAAATCAAAAACATGTACTCCCATGAACCGTTAGCATACCCACAAGGCATTAACAACCCAAGAAATTGTCGCTGTGTAATTCAAAGATGTCAAAACTGAAGAAACATTCAGTAGCGAAGACCAGAAGCCAGTGGAAACTACCAATTTGTGACAACTTTTTTCGGACACAAAATCACCACAGCGTAAAAATTCGCTTCAGCAACGACCGCTAAGTCAGTGGAATCGATGAATGGAGCAACGAGGAACACATCAAGACTTCTTCACTAGCCACACTGTCCTGAAATATGAAAAAATCATACCACAAAAAATCGCATCAAGGATGAACACAAAAAAAGACATATTTCAGAAACACGAAAACCAAAATCAAAACCCAGAACTCACATGAATCTTCAGCATACCCACAAGGCATTAACAACCCAAAAAAGCGTCGTTGTGTATTGCAAATATGTCAAAACTGAAGAAACATTCAGTAGCCAAGACCAGAAGCTAGTGGAAACTACCAATTTGTGACGACAAATTTTTTCTGACAAAAAATCACCACAGCGCAAATCCACTTCTGCAACGATCGCTAAAACAGTAGAATCGATGAATGGACCAACAATGAACACATCAAGATTTTTTCACTAGCCACACACAGTCCTGAAAAATGCAAAATTTGTACCACAAAAAATCGCATCAAGAATGAACACAAAAAAGACATGTTTCAGAAACACCAAAACCAAAATCAAAACCCAGAACTCCCATGAATCTTCAGCATACCCACAACGCATTAACAACCGAAAAAAGCGTCGCTGTGTATTTCAAAGATGTCAAAACTGAAGAAACAATCAGTAGCCAAGACCAGAAGCTAGTGGAAACTACCAATTTGTGACGACAATTTTTTTCTGACAAAAAATCACCACAGCGCAAATCCGCTTCTGCAACGATCGCTAAAACAGTAGAATCGATGAATGAAGCAACAATTAAGACATCAAGATTTCTTCACTAGCCACACACTGTCCTGAAAAATGAAAAAAACTTGTACCACAAAAAATCGCATCAAAGATGAACACAAAAAAAGACATATTTCAGTAACACGAAAACCAAAATCAAAACCCAGAACTCCCATGAGTCTTCAGCATACCCACAACGCATTAAAAAAAAGCGCCGCTCTCTATTTCAAAGATGTCAAAACTGAAGAACATTCAGTAGCCAAGACCAGAAGCTAGTGGAAACTACCAATTTGTGATAACTTTATTGAGACAAAAACACTCCAGCGCAAATTCGCTAGTGCAACGACCACTACTTCAGTAGAAATCAATAAACGAATAAAAATGAGCACATCAAAAAGATAATATCAGCCAGACACTCTGATCAAAAATGGAAAAACTTGTAACGAGAAAAACCGCATCACTGATAGACACATAAAATGACATGATTCCACAGAAAAAACTGAAATCATAAACTAAGCGCTCCCAGGTGCCAATAACAAGTAAAAAAAGGCATTTTCAACCCCAAAAAGGCAGCGCTGTCTTTCAAATTTATGAAAACAAGGAA